AAACTCACTTCCCTTTTTGACTAACGTCAAGGGATCTTTAACGCTGGGCAAGTTGCCTTACTCCAATACACCTTTGCTTACCGAGCAGTAAGTAGGAACTCAGTTGTTAGTCAATTGGCGTATCGCTTTTCCGGGGTTAACAATCCCTAAACAAACCCAATAATAATTTGGTCACTCAATCCATGACTGTTTGTCGGACACTGCTGTGCGCACATGTAAATTAACAACAGCTGTACAGCAGGCGAAGGGTTGACACGTTCTCACAGGTTCTGATGCTCACAAGCAAGATCAACCAATTCGAACATGAGGTGAGGGACGGACAGCATCTATTTTTAGAACACCTTTGTCTCAGCTGGAAACTTTTAAATCAAGCCTACTCCGAAAAGCAACGCTGCCAGAGAAGCATTTCAACATTGTTTGTGNAAAAAAAAGTCCAAGTTAAATTTTAAATAAAACCAGTGATGGTGCAAATAACTGGTCAAGAGCAAGGTCAGCACAGGACAACACTAGGCCAATATTGAAATGTCACATAACCTGTCTATCTCACTGTCAGTGCTTGTACTCTACATGAGCAGTCAAGTTCATTCCACACGGTCACTGTTCCTTTGGCACTTGTCCTTTGCTGTTTCAAATAATGGAGGGAGTTAAGCTAATAATAATAATAATAATCCTTGCATTTGATATAGCGCTTTTCACGTCGGGAGGACGTCCCAAAGCGCTGCACAGAACACACTGTAAAGTGAATTGACTGTATATTTGTGGGCGAACGCGGCAGCCAATTGCACACAGTAATGTCCCACAAACAGTCGTAGATTGAAAATGACCAATTTATTATTGTTTTGGGTTTTGGAGGGATTATTATTAGGGTCTGTGTGGAGTAAGGAAACTTGCCCAAGGTTTCGCCCTGACCTGCCTGGAATTGAACTCAGGTCTCTCGCTTGCAAAGCGAGTGCTCTGACCACTGAGCTACGGGACTCCTAGGCAAGGGATGGCTCTTTGCTCTGACAGCGGGATCCAAATCAAGAGGCAAAAATCCTAAAATTAGAGCGAAAGTGGGTTAGAAGTGAGATCAGAAAGCATTTCTTCAACGCACACCTGAAAAGAAAGCAACGTTTGATCCCCAATGGTGCTTCAAGCCCCACATGGTGGAGTCCTGTAGCTCAGCGGACCTTGTTGACTTGATTCAGGAGTGTGATGTGCATCCAAGGCCCGTTCATCACCAATACACGCCTGCTGCTGCTTCCAGGGGGGTGATTTTAGTGGAATGAAGGGCATATGTCGGCCGAGCAGAATTGCTATACCTGTTACTGGAGGAAGAGGAGGCTGCTGCAGTGTGGCCCACCCCGTCTCTGGTAAAATTCAGGTATTCTCTTGGTGGTGAGGGGAGTGATGCAATGCTCCCTAACACTGCATTGGATTGTCAGCCTAGACTGGGAGCTCTTTCTGTTAGCAATTGTGAATTTCAAGATGATCTGTATACATATCTGCATGCACAACAGGGCCCTTCCCTTATACGTTCCTGTATATACAACAACAACTATTGGCAGGATCGGTTATTGCATACAAATCTGATTTCCTGCATGAACCTTGATCACATTGTTTGCTTTCACTGTCTTGTTTGGCACTCTCATTACTGTTTTCTTTCCTCCCTCTTCTCCTTCTGTATAGATACCGGGTGAGGTGTACCTATTGCAGCTCTGCTTGCAATACGGAATGTAGATTTCAGCGATAGCACTCACAAACCATTCAACGTGCCATCAACACTGTGTGTGTACACCTTAAGCAATACATGTGTGATGAGCTTGTTTAGGTCATAGCTCATCAATGATAGCAGATCCTTTCCACCCCCCCCCCCCCCCAAATATGCCCATGACACTCCCCATGCATGACCTTTCCGATGAGGTATAAATTAATGAGGTATAAAGTATATAACGTCAGTCGGTTATTGTGTTATTGGCGGACAGACACACGTGCGGCGTGTGAACTGTGCTGCCATCTCTCTCTCTTGGCTCCTGGTGCTTAGTAAGTCTGAGGAAGCCTCAGGCTTCACTTTAACCTTCTCTCCTCCCTCCTGACACACGCACACACACTCACTTACACACTCACTCACTCACACATGCACTCATATAACCTTTTCCCTCTCCCCCCTCCCACCCCCAAAAAACCATCTCTCACCTCCTCGAGAAATGATGGGACTCAGTGTATTTTTGTTGGTAGGCGCGAGGGGAGAGATTTAACTTTAAAAATGTAGCATTCAATTTTTTTTCACCACTCTCTTCCCTCCTTCCCCCTCTCTGTCCCTATCCCGATGTATCTCTCTAGAAAGATGGATGATTTTCCCCTGTCACTACTTCGTTGCAGAATACCACACACACCTCATATTTTGGGGCTTAATTAAAGCATTTTTTAATGTAGCTCATCAACGATTGGAGATACCCGAGAAAAAATAGGCCCGTGATACCGTGACCATCCCCCACGCAAGACCTTTCCAATGAGGTATAAATCATGTCTCCAGGACCTGCTCAGACCGACTAAACCCCAGGTTTGCAGACGATGGTAAGCTCGGAAAAGTAGCAGTGAGGAGCATAGCAGCAGACTGCAAGACGACATAGACAGACTGGTAAAGTGGGCAGACACGTGGCAGATGGAGTTTAATGTGGATAAATGCGAAGTAATGCATTTTGGAAGGAAGGATGAGAGGCAGTATACGATAGATGGTAGAATCTTAAATTGGGTCAAGGAACAGAGAGACTTGGGGCTTCATGTAATTAAATCTTTGAAGGTGGCATTTCGGTACCCCAAGGACACCGATTTACAATAGTTGTTAAGCAAGAGAGCGGGGCAGTGGGGTTGATTTGGATTGCTCTTTTCAAAGAGCCGGCACAGACACGATGGGCCGAATGGCCTCCTTCTGTGCTGTATAATTCTATGATTCTACATCAATAGGTTATTGCGTTATCGACACACAGACAGACATTTTGTCTTTATTAGTATAGATAATAGATATATTGCCCCCTTGTGGTCTCGTCTGCTGTAGCCAAAAGCCTAACCAAAGGCAAAGAACCATAGAAATTGACAGTATAGACAGAGCCATCGTGTGCTGGCTCGTTTAAGATCTTAATCCATTTTGCCTGCCCTTTCCCCATTCGCCCGCAAAATGTACAGTCAATTCACTTTACATTATATTCTGTGAAGCGTTTTGAGGCATCGCAAAGACGTGATAAGGAGCTGTATCTTACCCGTTTTAAACAGGCCGGTTAATTTGGACAAAACATCGTCGCCTCTGCGTCAACTCACTCTGTGTCCCAAATGCAGCCGAAACCCTCGCCCGTGCGTTTGTCACCTCCCGCTTGGATTACTCAAACGCCACCCTTTGCGGACTCCGTCAGCTCCACCATTCACAAGATCAGCTCATTCAAAACTCTGCCCCCACGTCTCACCAGTTCTGGCCCGGGCTCCCCATCACCGAACAGATCGACTTCAAGATCCTCACTCTCGTGTTCAAATCCCTCCACTCCTCGGCACCTCCCTCACCTCTCCGACCTCCTCACTCCCCGATCCACGAACCGGCGCCTCCGCTTGACTAGCACCTGCCTCCTGCTCGTCCCTCGCACCCTCCGCCCCACCATCGGAGGTTGCACTTTCAGCCAATACGCCCCGAATCTCCGGAACACTCTCCCTCAATCCCTCCGCCTTGCCCCCTTGCTCCCCTTTCTTAAGTCCCGCCTGAAAACTTTCCTGTTCGATCGTGCTTACGGCCACCTCCCCCCCCCACCCCGGCTCGGAGTCAGGCTCCGCCACTGTTAAGCGCTCTGAGACGCCACCCTGCAGGGAGGGCGCTGTATAAGTGCAAGTTGTTGTTGTTGTGTTTCAGACCGCTCCATTCAGCCACGAGTGGCTCTGAGGTGAAGACGGGAGTAGTCAAACTGCGGTTGACGGACAACAGACTCCGGCCATTCACAAGCGGCCCCTGGGAGGCTGAAATCAGTGATGGGGGGTGTGGGGTGGGGGGGACGGAAAAGAAACAAGAGAGGGAATGGGAGGAGTCAAAAATGTGATTGATTGACAGCTGGAGCCACTTGGGAATGGCTGGAGTGGCCACGGGCTGCCAATCACTTCGGAGCCACCGCTAATCGATCCCCTTCCCATCCAGTGGGAACGGCAGTGGGGAGGGAGGAGGCGCCCCCGAAGAACTTTGGTTCGCCTCGGAACGCCTCTTGAGCCGGATAAAATGGCCAATCCCGACGTGTCCACCAGAAGTGGCTCCCACTGCCTTGTGAGTTGTCCCAAGCTTTGAATATTCCATTAGTCACCGGCAAAAGGATAGTCAGTCACCGCTATTGGTACACAAAATACCAACCAAACATCAACATTCGATAAACATCTGATACTTTCAGGTCCATATTTACGGGAACAGGTATTTATTAAATAATCCACAGCAACGCACGGGAGAGAAAGACTGAACGAACATTAGAAGGATAACTGATTGTCGCTATCACTGACAGCTTTTTGTTTTCTGGAGACAGCAGTGCACTTTACTGTGAATAAAAGGAGTGTGAATGGGTCAGACTCTAGAGCACCACATCTAGGCTGGAAATAAGGTAAAGGAGCTTTAGTCTGACTATTTAAATTCCCTAATTTGAGAATACAATCTCTACATAACTACTGCCACTTTGTGCTTTTAAAGGGTACCGTATTTCCCTCTTAAAACTGCAATGGTCTGAAGTACAGGCTTGTGGAATATATTGAGGCGGTTTTTTTTATAAAAGAAGATATTCAGAAGTAATTACAAATGATAAAACAAATCCCATGGAACAAACTCTTGTTTAAAAAAATGATACTGACTTTTGCATGCACTGCATTTACACACACACACGCACACAATTGCAAATGGACTTAAATAATATTAGCAACATTAAAATATTGTTTTGAATGAAACTTGTAAATGGCATTAGGTTAGAAGATCAGCCGTGATCTTATTAAATGGCGGGGGAGGCTCGAGGGGCCGAATGGCCTACTCCTGCTCCTACATCTTATGGTTAATGGTTGACATATCAACCCAACGTGTCCAGCTACATGCCCCGCCGTAAACAACTTTAGTGCCTGTATTCTAGAGGCCCAGTAAAAACAGAATTATGCCCATCAACTGACAAGAACCAAAATAGGAAAGTGCACCAGCACTTAGAACTTTGTTAATAGGGGAACTGCTGATAATTTAGGAATTCAATTGAAATTGTGAGGGTTCTTTTTCAAAATGTTGTGTGCGACACACCGTCCACAATCCTTTCAGATAGTCATTCCTTTAAAAACGTCTGATGGCAACATCTTTCCTTGATGTTTCGACCACAGAATATCTTGAAGCTATCTGTCTTGACTTGACGTAGTAGCGCCGTCTGAATAAAGAGTACTGTTGAACTGTCGTTCTTGCCAGAAGGAAGATTTCCGATGACCGAGCAGTGCCTTGATGGAGCTGAAGCTTGTGAAGCCAACAATGTTAAAAGCTAGCTGTCTGCCGTATTATCTTTTATCCGGGAAGGATGAACGGGTTTTCTTTTGTCCCGTGTAAGAATTCCTGCTGTGGATTTGGTCTTCTTGTCTGCGTGGCCTTTGTCCTTTGTGGTGGAGTTGGGCTGGTGAGTAGGTGACACATTAGCTCCTGGTACATGGCTCGCTTCAAGCATCTCAGGTCCATTAATGAAAGGAGGAGGCACCGTGCTACTGTGCTCCCTACAAGATTCACAGCAGAGTTTTTTGTAACCCGGGATAGAGCAATATCGTGCAAGCACTTCCATCTGACAAAATATGGACTTGTCTCGCAGACATGGCTCACCTGAGGGGTGACGAAAAATGAAGATGAAACGTTTTAGTAATAATGACGGACCACCATAAATGCAGTGTCTCTTCCTGGGCAACCCGTTCCAGTCATTAATTATGCTCTGGCTAAAGGAAAAAGTTCTGCAGCCATTCGTTAGGAATGGTTATAAATACGCAACGTTTCGTAACAGGTTTGAATTATCGCATCGCATGTTTTCACGGATGCAATTGAAATGAATAAACTGCATAAATCACAACTATAATTGGCCACAGAGTACACAGTCACTACACTTTACAGTATATCCTGTGAAGCGCTTTGAGACGTCCCAAAGACATGAGAAGGCGCTATAGCAAATGCAAGGATCATTATTATTATTATTATAGGCACTCTTTGCCACACATGAGGGAAGTAATGCATTGCGTATCTGTAAAAAAAAATACGGTTACTGAAAGCACCACGTAATGTTACACTAAATTATTGACGATCTCCCTAATTTGGCAACTGAACTAATTTCGGGTTTAGTGTTTAGGTTCTGATGAATGAGGATTGACACAGGTTCATACCTTTACAAGGGGGAAGCCTGCAGACTCTCACGGCTTCTTGTTTCTTTCCATCACACAGGTTGTTTGCACGACATACAATTTGTCTTTTTTCAATTCCTTCACCGCACGTAACTGAGCACTGTAAAGAATATAAATGGAAAGAATGAAAATTCTTTTACATGATCATAATAAATAATCCATTCATTTCATATCCTGTAAAGTGATAAGTTTACAGGATATGAAATGAATGAACTTGAACTTATCACTTTACAGGATTTTACTGCATTTGTAAGTGAACACAGTTTGTGCACGGAATGACCCACAAATAGCCACCAATGACCAATCTTGTTATGTTGGCCAGGAAACCTGCGGAGTCCTGTAGTTATAATAATAATCCTTGCATTTGATATAGCGCTTTTCACGTCGGGAGGACGTCCCAAAGCGTTGCACAGAACACACTGTAAAGTGAATTGACTGTATATTTGTGGGCGAACTCGGCAGCCAATTGCGCACAGCAATGTCCCACAAACAGTTGTAGATTGAAAATGACCAATTTATTATTGTTTTTGGTTTTTGGAGGGATTATTATTAGGCTCTGTGTGGAGTAAGGAAACTTGCCCAAGGTTTCGCCCTCTGCCTGGAATTGAACTCAGGTCTCTCACTTGCAAAGCGAGTGCTCTAACCACTGAGCTACAGGACTCCACCTGTAGTTCAGTGGTTAGAGCGCTCACTTCGCAAGTGAGAGGACTTGGGTTCAATTCCCAGGCAGTGCAAAACGTTGGGCAAGTTTCCTTACTCCACACGCCTCTGTTTACCCAGCAGTAAGTAGGAACACGGTTGCTAGTCGATTGGCGGATTGCTTTTCCGGGGGTAATAATCCCTTCAAAAAAAAAATTGTAATAACTTTATGGGAGTTGGGTTACACTGCTAAATCACCCGAGTTCAGAACCCCAGAAGTCGTGCTCAAGCTGTAGAGCGAACTGGTCAGCCGGTACCTAAAGTCACGTTCTGGGTTGTCCAAGCCCTGACTCATTTCGGAGCAGAGCAACAAAGATGGTTCCAGTGACTCTTGGAATCATCTTTGCTCCAAGGAATGATTAGATAAGCTGGGGATTTTCAGCTTTGAAAAAACACATTGCAGAAGAGACTTTGTCATTTACTCTCCTTCTCACTCTTTTCTCTGTCTCAAAGTTCCCCTCCTCTCTCTCTCTCTCTCCTTTCGGGGTCTCCTTTTTCTCCCCCACCCCTCACCGTCTCCTTCTTACCCTGAGTCATTTTCTCTCCCCCCCCTTTCCCCCACCCCTGCCATGTCTTGTTCCCGCTCTCACCTTCAACTTTCTTTCTTTGACCCTCAATCTCAAGGGGAATAACTTTTTTCTTGGTCAGGAGAGTATCGTAATAATTCATGCATTTGATACAGAGTCTTACCACGTTGTTGAGATGTTTCATGCTTATAGGATATCCTGTAAAGTGGTGTGATTGTGCGTATTTTATGGGTGAACAATGGCAGTTAATTCACCCATAAAATGGCAGTCTCGACTCCCACAAACAGCCACGAGTGAGTGAGGGGAGCATGCTACCAGGCTGACACTGACATTTTTGATCACGACTGGATCGAAAGAATGATTCACAAGAGAACTGGTTAAGCGCCTGAGCAAATAAAAAAAAACATTAAAAGATGCGGGGAAAGGGATGGAGAACGAGAAAATAAAACCGGCTACTTGGAACAGCCAGAATAGACCAAATACCTCCCTTGTATGCCGAAAATTTCTGCATCGTTATTTGCATAAGTAACGCTTATATCAACTAACTGCCTTTAGACCAGGAGTCGTTGTTCTTTACCCAGTGTGACGTCCGAGAAGTAATTCTTTGAAAACTAAAATTCTAGGTATTTTTATATGAAGAATTTCTAATGCCTCACCTCTGACCAAGGTCCTGTTCTCCATTTTGATGGGCAGGGCTTTCTGTTACATGACAGTCGGTTCTCTGGACGGTCTCCACTGCAATATTTACTGTTGACAGAGCGGTTTGTGCCGTCGTGGAGCAACTGGACACAGCGAACAGTACGGATCTGGTACCCAGAGTTTCCACAGGATTTTGTGCAGTGTTCCCATTCTTCTGCTATCCAACTGTTTGAAGGAAATTCACAAACATGCTTTTAATAGTTCATAGAATCACATTCCTTATTGAAAAGCACTTGAACTCAAGCTGACAGGAAAGGATAGATCAGATTATTTATTACATGGAATTATATGGAGAACGGTGAATCTTCGAAATGCGCCACAGATGTGGCACAGGCAGATTGACCAATTTTCAAGAGGAATTAGAAATCGATTAAAGGGTGTGAGAGATAAAGTACTGTAAAAAAAAAAAAAAATTCCAATCCAGTATATTCCTATGAAAAAAAATGTAAGACTAGATTACGTGCGGCCTTCAAACTCAATGACGGAGAGCTGTCAGTAGTCCTGGCAGCAATGCTGTGCTGTATTAGCTCTGAGTGCAAAGTCATGTAGTAACACATGGCAGGTCCGTTCATGCTTGAAATAAATTGTTTAAAATAAATTCAATTAGTGACTCAGAATTAAGATAGACAACAATTGAAATCAACGACACAATAAATTCCATTCAACCCATTGAATGAGCAACACCAAAGAGAATCTAGTGCCGTTTAACAGGAAGCAGTGACCGGGTATGGGTTGACTTGTCACAGGAAACGTTTGGGTTTGATTGTACAGAGACAGAGTGAACCGCTTTACTCGTGTGGGACTTACTGAGGCAGCGTGCACTCCTGCAGGCTACACTTCCGATGAATGGGCTTCGGTTTCTTGTTTGCATCACAGAAGGTTCGATGGACCATTTTATTGGCGCTCTTCCTGCGGCAGCCATACTTTGTGTACTGAAAACCTGGTGCGGAGAAAGAAATATTATCTTGAGCTCCATTTCCAGTTTTTTTTTTTGAATTTACAAAAATGTGTGATATAACTGTGTACAGTACAATACAGCGAGCTTCAATGGAGCCGGATTCTCTTATCAGGTGGTTGCCATGTGGACCTGGATCACTGCACACATTTCCTGTGTACCTACCGACTTTTCACACTGAAATGCCCAACCTCCAGTTTGTTAAGTTGACAACAAATCCAGCTGAATGTGCAAACCCAGCAGTGATACTGGGGGAACCCTAATGGTCTGGAAGTCGGCCACTTTAGGTCCCTGTGTTCAAAAAAGTACGACTTCTGGGCCAATAGGTCACTTCCCACTATAAGTGGTGTGCCGAACGCAGGAGGTGATGTAGACATGACCCGATGACCGAATCAGTTGTACACATGGCAGTCAGACTATCAACTCGGACATCTTCTCCACTATCGCCATTTTGCCCTGGCTCTCTGGAGTTCCATTCCTGAAGTCCCACTGACTCGCTTTGAGTAGGGAAAATAGAGATATAATGCAAACTGTTCTGTTTAGATGCTTGGTTTAGGGATAATAAGTGTGAATCATATGTTCACAATTTACTTTAAATTAAGTACCTCCTCCACAAGATTTGGAGCACGTAGACCAGTTCTTCAAAGCCCACTCAAATACATTTGTTTCTTCTTGAAGTATATTATTATTGTTGATGATTGGTAAGGAGTCCTCATGAATAATATACTTGTAGGTTAGTTTAGAGTCAGTGCTATTATCCTGAGGGATAATCTGAAACGAGAAAAATATTTTTGCAAACACCCCGTCCATCCATACAACTACTAAAGTTTGACAGTTATATGCAGGTACATATCACACAAAATGCTCTTCACAACAGGCACTGTTGTAACCAGATATTAATTGGAACCTAAATATTCTCCTCTTCCATAATTATAACAAAATAATCTAACCTCTAAACACACCATCTCAGAAACCAAATAGTATTTCTTTCTTTTACCTACGACAACATCTTTCACTTGTATTGTATCATATCGTAGGAAGACATCTCAACATGGCTTACAGAAACTGAGCGGAAGCCCAAGCAGGAAGGAGGATGACAATAATAATAATAATAATAAGATAGGGGTAAGTGGGAGATGATCAAAGGCACAGTCAAAGAGATAGAAGAGTTCTGAAACCGGGTTTTATAACATGCATTTGCTGTAGCGTCTTACCACTCCTTATCACATCATCGAGATGTCTCGAAGTGCTTCACAGGATATATACTGTAACGTGGATTGATTCTTTATATTGTGGGCGAAACGTGGCAGCCACTTTTCACACAGCAATGTCCCACAAACTGCCTGAAAATGAGTGACCAATTGTATTTGGGGGATTTGTTGAGCATGACACTGGGAGAGAGAAAATCCCTTCTCTTTAATGTCCACCTGAACAGGGAAAAGGGACCTCGGTTTAACATCTCATTGAAAGGATGGCACCTCCGACAATGCAACAGCCCCCAGCACTGCATTTTGGGCGGGGGGTGTCAACTTAGATAATATGATTCCAAATCTTGACGTAGGGCTTGAACCCACAACTTCTGACTCTGAGGCGTGAGTGCTTACCACTATGCCAGGTTGATATGCTTTTGAGAGTGTAAATTGGATGGATTTTAAGAGTTCCAGAGATTGGGGGAAAAGTGACTGCAAGCTCACTGATGGTAGGGTGGAAGAAGTGGGACATTCATCACTCCTGAGATAGTAGTGGGCAGGGAAGTCATACTGGAGTGATCACAGAGGTAGGGTAAGGCAAGGGATTGGAGGTGTTTCAAAGATAGAATGAAGATCTTGAAATCATTCAAGATTAAACAGAGTCTGGTGAGGATAGGAGTGATAGACTCATGGAGCCTGTTTACGGTAAAGGATACTGGCTTCAGAGTTCTGCATAAACTGGAGCTTATCTAGGGATATACACGTATACAGAAAAAAAACATCTGTACATCTGAACCTCTTAAACTTGCTATAGTTCTTAAATAAGCTGAATTACAACTTGCTCCGTCCATCACCTCTTTCAATCTCCCTCTCAAGTCTTATCTCTTTGACTAAGCTTTTGGTCATCTTTCCCTTCCCCACGCCCTCACCTCCCACCGCCAGCTCGGCTGTCAAGCCAGAGGTCCTGCTGATGTGAAACATGCTGCGTAAATGTAAATTTGTATTGGATTGTTATAATAACTCACCAGAACTACAACAGTTTCATGCAAAGGACCATCTGTTTGAAGAGTTTCTAGGTCACTTTCCATGGTGTATTTCCATTCCACACCCAGGTCAATGAAAACCTTTGTCTTGGGTTCCTCCCCCTTGCCATTTAGGATGTAATGGCCTGTTGCCTGATTTTTGATAGCTGATACAGAGGATGAAGATGCATTCGTATAAGGCAGAACTTCAACATATGCAATGTGAAAAATGAGAACTGTCTTTCACCTTTTTGTCTTGTAACATCACTTTTTAAAGTTTAAGATTACGTAAAAATATGGCAATTCTTATATTTGGTCCATTCATTTTGAAGCAGGTTCTGTTTCCAAATCAAGTCTAAATTAAAGAATTTTCCATCATTATGTGCAATTTTAAATTTTTAAGTCAAAATGGTATTCCATGCCAAGAATAGATTTTAAGATGAAACAGAGTCTGGTGAGGATAAGAGTGATAGACTCATGGAGCCTGTTTACGATAAAGGATACTGGTTTCAGAGTTCTGCATACACTGGAGCTTATCTAGGGATATACACGTATACAGAAAAAAACACATCTGAACCTCTTAAACTTGCTATAGTGCTTAGGTAACGCTGAATTTCAAGCCATCTAACTTCACAGCATCAACGTCAGCAACATCTGACGGGTTTTGTTTAACCAGATTCAAATGTTGTATTTGGGAACTTTAGCTATCACAAAGCAACGCAAATCACAAATCGTGCAGAGATGAATGGTGGGCCATTCTGCCAAGCACTGCAATACCATGATTGCACAGAGCATAGCAGCCATAGGTACACCCATCTAACAAAGCTCCCAAATAAAATACATTGAAGGCAATTCTTCACAATAGCCGTTACAATACACGGTTCAACATATAGATTTATAGGAAAAAGTGATACTACATTCAGATTCATGCTATTGTCAGTAACTAGTGGTTTGAGCAATGGTTACAATATAATTTATCACTTCACTGGTTATTTTTAAGCAAAAATTCTCATGCCTCAATAGGAGGAGAAGGTTAGTACTTACCAAGAATGTGAGGTGAAACCTCATCTTCTTGGATGAAGACATATCTAGCACCAGGTGGGATATCAAACATCTTTATATAGCCTTTACCCGTGTTAAGGTGAAAGAAGCAAAACGAAAAAAAACAGCACTAGTTAATATAGCTTTACATGATGAATTGTCTCGAAGAGGACATCAATGAAACACGGAATATTTTGCAAATTCTTGTCACCTGCAGAACCAAGCTTATGATCTACTACACCCATACTATTGAATCCTTTTTTTCCTCTAGCAAAGAGGAAAAACACATTGTCATTGATGATTCAGGTTACGATGTGATATGTTGTTAGCCACAAGTGGACCTTTGAATCCATCAATGGACTGGATCATCTAGCAATTGTTGCAAAATAACCCAAAAGGTGTCCCCGATGTCCTTTCTTCTGCTCTCACTTACCAATCACATGTTTAGACTGGCTTAATCCAGAGAGATCAAGATTTCTAGCTCCTTTGGGTAAAATGAATGCTGCTTTGGTTCTCCCTTAAACAAAATGATTTCATCAGTTCACTGATAAGTTTTCTTTTCATCGACTCATTTTCATTCACAAATTTAAAAATGACTTCAATTTCAATCAGTAATAATCACTGGATTGTATCCAATATGAACAAGGCATCTAACAAGGCCTTTGGTCCACAAAATATACAGTCAATCTGCTTTGCAGTGTATTCTGTGAAGCGTTTTAAGACGACTCGAAGACGTGATGAGGCGCTATAACAAATGCAAGGATTATCATTATTAAAGAACGTATTCATTAAGAGTAAATAAAAATAATGTTTGCTGAAATCAAAAGTGAGAAAAACATTCAGCTTTGACCAGACAGGATACTTCTGGCAAGCTTTTCCGCTGCTTGTCCAGCTAGGATGACCCTACCAGTTAGGGCTTAACATAACATAACATAACATGCAGAAGCAGGAGTAGGCCATTCGGACCTTCGAGCCTGGACCCGCCATTCAATCATGGCTGATCTTCTAATCTAACTCCAGCTAATAACCTGACCTTGCCTTATCCCCATATCCCTTAATCCCTTTTGCAATAAGAAATCTATCTATCTCAGTCTTGAGTCTTCCCTGCTTTGGCTTGTGTGTTGGATTGTCTGCCCCAGTAATCGTTCTACTCTTTCGAGTCCTATCAATGAGCCAGCCTGACTGTGCTGTCTGTCATCAACAGGGCTCTGGTGTACTGCGGACCCGCCTGGCTCAGGAACCAGTCTACCGAGACCGCCGGAGAGGGCTGGCTCGATTCCGACATTCCTTCGCCAGGCATGTCACCTTGGAGCCAGTTCAGCGACACATGCATTATAGTGCATGAGAGCGTTCCTGTCCGCAGCTCACTCACTTATTTTTCCAAGAGCTCTTTAGTTGCTAAAGTTCTTTTAGCACCTCTTGCTTATTTTTTTGTGCCTGTTGAAAGAGTTTGAGTAGTGGTTAGCTGTTGTAGAAAATTCCATCTTACTGCAAGTTCACGTACTCACAAGGAACATTGCCTACTGTGCTCTTACATGAACGTCGCATAAATGTTTAATTTCTAGATCTCTTTCACTGTAAAATACAGCAGCAATTTCTTATATTTTGAGTTCATATATAGGATAAAAATCAGTCCTTAACAAATCCCTAAAAATCTTATTGATGGATCTGAAATTTAACAACTGCGGTTTGATTAGACAAAATTAATTCTTCCACTGCTCACGCGGAGGCTAATTGCGCACAGCAGTGTCCCACAAACAGTCGTGGATTGAGTGAACAAATTATTTATTTATTTTGAAAAGGGAGAGCACTCTGCCAATTGACCGGGTTCCTACTTACTGCTAGGTAAACAGAGATGTGTGGGGTAAGGAGATTTGCCCAAGGTTTTGCCCTGCCCGGGAATCGAACCCGGTTCCACTCACTTGCGAGGCCAGTGTGATAACCACCACACTACAGGTCTCCACAAGTGGGCATTTGTTGTGTAGGTGCACCATGTGATGAAGATACCACTGAAGCGACAAGTCACCGCCAGTACATAGGGAGGGAGGACTGACTGGAAGCCAGTTGTCAGCAATGTGCCCTGGGAGGGGTTGTTACCTTACTGTTAAATTTGGATAAACTAAGGTTATACTTGTATGAAGCCATGAACGTGAAACGAGTGCATCTTAGGTACTCTTCAATCTATTTCATAGGTTATATTCTTACCAGGTTTCTTTGGTGTCCTAGTAAATGTTCTTTTCACTGTTCTGCAATGAGAGTTATCTCCAGCACATATTCCACATTTGTCATCTGCTTTGTTTGAACCAATTGTTTTGTCACAACCCACTTTCTGTGGAGAAAAGTCTTCACTCAAATAGTAATAAAATTCACAACACACCAGCACTATTGGAAAATCACTGCTACACTAGTACACTTCCTGATAATTTCTTTGGACACAAAGACATAGGAAGGAGTTGGCAATTTACAGAGGATATTTGGGATTTTCCTTGCCCTCCAGAACGCCCGGATGTGGTAAAACTCACATATGTCGTATGAGTCAGGGATTCATTGATGCATTGAGCCGAGAGACATATTACAGATAATTAAGACAACTTATGAAAGAACTCAAACAATTCCTTAGACAGAGTTTAGGCAGAATTTAATGTGTGCAAATATAACACTAATTAGATGTCTAATCACTAACGATCCACCACGTTGAATATATAATTTTGAATATATACTCACCACACATTCACCTCTCACGCAGATGCTGTACGAGTCTTTATAGGAACAGTGAGTACCATCATGGACCAATTGTTTCATGTAGACCACTGTTCCCATTTCTTTAGATTGACAGTAAAGGTGGCATCGTTTTCTTGCTAAAAACAAAGAATCTGTGTCACCGAGATACACAAAGTAGCTGATTAATTTGCACTAACTGGGATTTATTTGCCCTAATGTGGATAAGGAAACAATATGGATAATACATCACTGTGCATCACAAATTGGCTACAGGCCCAACTAGAAATGTACTGCATCAGGAATGGCTATGGCATAAAACCATAACTATGGTACCACTCTGTGCCTGTCTTTCCTCTCTTTTTCTGATTATCTTCCTCTCGAACATGCTTTCCCTTGCTCTCTTTAAAATTCTGGTAGACAAAGATTTAGAAACCTTGGAAAACAGGAACAAGAGGAGGCCATTAGGCCCATTGAACCTGTTCCACCAGTTTATTAGATCAAGGCAGATCTTTTAATCTCAAAGTCCTGACGTTTCATCTTATCCCTTTATACGTCTATAACCAAAGAATCTATATCGCTCTGTCTATATCGACATGGACAGTAGACTGTAGTTTATTAACACTAAATGGAACCAGTGTTTGCATCAACATTAAAAACCTCAGAAAAGGTGAAATTTGAATAGGAAATTAATACTGCTCTGAAATCCAATCTTTCTCTCACTAAGTAAGTAAGTAAGTAAGTAGGTAGGTAGTAGGTAGGTAGGTAACCAACCAACCAACCACCCAACCAACCCTCACTCTCTCTCCGATTTCCCCTTTGATTCCCTTTCTCAGGGTATCTCATGCTGGGGCACGGTTTTTAATGACGTTTTAATGGCCATAATTTATGTGTGAGCTAGACAGCGAGTGTGGTCAGGTTCTTCACCTGCTCATCTGATCTTGCTTTCATCTAAAGGGAACATGTGCCGACTCTCCATTAGTGATTACTGGGTATTGACCAGGAGTGGGAAACCAACCTGATCTTTCCTTGTCTCTAGCCTAACACAAACTGCTGGCCCAGGTGAAGCTCAGTTCATTCTGTATAGATCAGGGATTGAACCAGCAATCTAAGGCTTAAATTGTTTCACCCACAACATATAAAGTAATTTACAGTATATTCTGTGAAGCGCTTTGAGACGTCTCGAATATGTGATAAGGCGCTATATCAAATGCAAGAATTATTATTGTTATTATTAATATTACAGCAGAAAGTATTTTTACTCATGGCCTTTTGGGAGCTTCAAAACCTTTTTAAACCTGGAAGTTGTCCTTCTGAATATATGATTTGGAGACTTACAATCTGGATGTTCATATGGAAGCCAGTGGTGCTTCATGTCCTTATACTCAAAGTACGAATTACGTTGCTGACACTGTTGTGCTCGGAAATCCTCAAAATGCCGTTGACAATCGTCTGTGTTACATAGTTGATAGTCATAATTTACACCGGGGCAATCCTGACCACCGTTTGCAGGTCTGAGACAGAAGCGCCCAAAACAAAGTTATAATTTATATTTCAAACAGCGGAATAAATATCTTAAGACAACAAAAGTTTAATTATCTAAAGGTCTCCTCACATTAGCTTGTGGTTAATTTCTGGAGTCTTTACAGCAGACAGATTTACAAAGAACGTACTGCACAGAAACAGGTCATTTGGCCTTCTCTTCTCCTCTCCCGCATGTGAAGGTCTATGTGTCCTCTTAAAATGCATCTACACTATCTGATTCGACCATTGCTTCAGGCAGCGAGTTCCACAATCTCACTACCATAACTGTGAAGCAGTTCCGCCTAAATTCTGCAAGAACGGTGTGATGGGGGTATAGAGTTTAGTGCGGGTGAATATGTGGGTGGCAGATTTGTGAATTAACTGGATTTTGTGGATAGTGGAGCTGGGGAGACCTGGGATGGGGTATTTGAACAGTCAAAGATGAAGGTGACGAATGCATGGATGAGGGTTTCGGCCGCGTTTGGGATATCTGTAATTTCTGCTCTCAGGGACTGGTGTGTTCTCCAAGTCCTGCCATGATCCAGGTCACTGCTGTCACCAGCAGTGCCTTGGAATACTGTGGATCCATCCGGCTCAGGAACGGGACTACTAAGACCGCCGCAGAGGGCTGGCTCGATTCCGACATTCCATTGCCAGGCCTGTCACCTTGGAGCCAGTTCAGCTCCAAGGAGATCTCGCTTAACCAGTTTTGCAGCAGATATTAGTGAACGCATTTTAATCAGTGATAAAAGTTTATGACAATCTTCCAAGAAGAGGCAAACACGTCACAGTATCAAAATTAGAAATATGAAAATATGATTTACAATATGTTTCAGCCTGCGATGGGAGGTGGAATGGTCTTTTCTTATTTCTGAATTTTCCGAAACATTTATTGTTACCTTAAAATAGGAAACTTACGCTGGTTTATTGCACTGCCGGGATCTAAAGCGAACTCCAGTGCCACAGGTTCGAGAACAGGTCCCAAACTTGCTCCAGGGGCTCCAGCTGCCGTCCTGCCTCAAAGCTTTCGACGTCGCCCACAAACAGTGACCCTGGTAACACCACTGAAAATTCAAATGAAATACTTTCACCATCTGGAATTTATTTCTCCTTTAACATCTCCCGCCCAGGCCCGCCCCGCCATTGGAGGTCGGGCCTTCAGCCTCCCTGCCCCCTGATCCTTTGGAACTCCATCCCACAGTCCCTTCGCCTCGCTCCCTCCCTTGCTTCCTTCAAGGCACGTCTCAAGATCCTCATCTTCGACTGTAGCCTCGGCCACCCTCCTTCCCTTCACCACCCCCCTGAGACCTCCCGACGCGAAAGGCGCTATACAAATGTAATTTTGTATGGTATTTGTATCTCAATATTGATATTTATGGTAAATCGTACAATCTGTCGGCCCGTTAGGTGGAACAAGCAGACAGGTGATGAAACGTGAAGTGCTTTGAAATGTCTCAGTGATCAAATGCAAGGATTATTTATTTTTATATAACCCAATGGGCATGAATCACAACGTCTAATGTATTAGTGATTGTGTCTGAACAAATACAAATCGTTCAGTCATCAGCTCACCTTTCCAGGGTCACACTCAGTTCCATCCAGGGGAGGACCTTTCTTTGTCTTACAGAAATAGGGGTTGTCAGGATGACTGCACCATAATTGTTTGCATGGATCGAAAGTGCTGAACTGTAACAAGACAATATAATTCAGGCTTTTTAACTAAACGTCTTCAACAAGCAACTGACCTCTGTAGTAAAACAAGTAGCCTTAGTGCTTCACCACTCTACACAATAGAAATACTGGTTAATTATTCCTTTCACCAAATCAGGTGCACAGGATTCGCAGGACCAGAAAAAAACATGATAGCCCATCAGCCCATTCCCGTTTTGATGTCCTATCCTGTGCATTTCTGTGTCCTTATATTTGGTGAAAAGAATTCACCAAATATGGGGTATGTGAAATGCGCAGGGTATGTTTCTCTCTATTTCACATACCCCAATCCAGCTCACTCTTGGAATTGCACAGACTGTATTCTGTGTCTACGGTCTCCCTGGGAAAACTCATGGTGTTGTTCCACATGCTGGCTGTTCTTTGTGCAAATTAGCTAAAGCTGATAAGACTATTTATTCACTGTCCCTTAACTGAGTTTGCGACCTTGATCGTTAATTATGGATCTCCTGAGCGTGCCAAAGATAACATTGGAGTCCAGGGTATCCCTGTCGGCTCTAAAAACCTTCTAAGCGCTCACCCCTCACTTGTCCCTTCTCAACGTAAGATCTCTCGCTTCTGCAATCTCTCCTCATAGTTATGGCATTTATTCCCATGTATTGATTTATTTCCCCCCTATCAGCCTACAACTGAATTTATTTCTCAGGAATTCAGAACAAATCTGCAGAAACTCTACTTCAGTGAGCGAGTGGTAAACTTATGGAACGCGCTCCCTAGGGAGACAGTGGAAGCAGGAAATGTCATTTGTTTCAAGAACAAATTAGATAGATTTCTGCTAGAAAATAATATCCGGGGATACAGTGTATAGTTTGGGGCGTGACACGTCAAGCGACTGCCAGGATGGTGGAAGGCGAACTAGATGGACCTTGGTCTTCTTTTACCCAGCAAATTCTTATGCTCTTATGTCTCCATCATTGCACCTTTTCCAATGCTAGCATGTCTCTATTGTAGTCTCAACTCCAGAACTGTACACAATACTATAAATAAAGACATATTAATACTTTGCACAGAACTCAAATGATGTCCCCATAGGCACCTTAACATCTTCTCTGCCTTCCTTTTTTGCTGGTACTCACTTTGCTAAAGATTTCAAACAGCTCTCAACTAGTATTCTCAGATTCTTCTGCTGGGTAGTGTCCAACAAGCACATACCAATTAACTTACATTCTTATACAGTCTTCTGCCTTTAAACTTATATTTGGGAATTAATATTTGAACATGTCCTCGCAAGAGCTATATTCTTACTTATTTTCACTGTTTTTGAAAGAATTCTAATTTCCTTTATTTTCCCCTNAAAAAAATTGCCTTTCAAAAGTGTTGAATTTTTCTTATCGCAAACCTGATATTAACCTGAATCATATAGAATTTAGTTACTACTTACTGCCTCACTGTGGCCTGTTTTACAGGTTCAATAATTGTTAAATAAAATCAGACCTATTACCTATTATAGGTACTCTCTTACAGGTTTTACGAGCACTTTATATAACAGTCTAGTGTCATATCCTGCGACACATATTAATTCTTTTTACTCTTGTTATCAACATCTCAATTTACACTTGGTAAGTTGAAGTCACCCATAATAATTGTATCTAATGCCCCTCCATTTCTCTTATTCGAGAGTGCAGTTTCAGGTCTAACGTTTCTGCTTCCCATTAGGTTTATGACAGATCCCAAAAGTTAGTTTCATCCTATTAATGTTCTCATCTCAATCCACAGTGTTTCTATATTATCTCCACCTGCTATCAAATGCCTTGTGAAATTCCATAGCAATTTTACATTCATTGATCTGTGGTTCTTTTGAGGAACTCAAATCGGTTTGTGAGGGTGCAATCTGAGGTGTTTGTGATATTAAGACAACAATGAGTTACGAAACGCTGCTAATTCCTTCCCCATGTTAAGCTTCACCAGCCTGCACTCACCTTTCATCGCAGCTGCACCTCTGAGCTGCTTGCAAATGCCAAGGGAGCAGGCCATCATCCTGGTTTTTGATCCACCGATCTCTGGTCTGATCTGCCATCATAGAAGCAGATATTCAGTAAATAAGCATCATCTCTCCTGGCCTCAGCACAACGGTACAAAGGGATCCCGCTCTCAAACTCCGTCTTGTCGCCCAAAATAGGACCATTTCAAAGCAGGAGAGCAGGCAACTGACTGAAGTTACTGAAAATCTGCCTCCACGAGGACACATCAGACCGGAGATTGGCGGATCAAACAACACAGCAGCCGTGGCTTTCCAAGGTGTCGGCAAAGAACTTGCAGAGATAGTCATGTTGCAGGTTGAGTGCAGCCTGGTAACACTGATCAAACAGGAAGAAATTAGCTCATTTAATAACATGATCACTGGGAGCACTTTATGAAACACAGCTATTTTCTTCCCATTGTCTTTATTTCAGCAAACCAGATTCACTCCCCCTGATTTGTGCACATTAAACCAGTTACTCTGTCCCTGATGATGAATTCCAGCACTTCATCCACAATTGATCTTGTGACGTGTCTGTTCCTCTCTTTGGAATAATGCCGTACTCTCTAACTTTCAATCATTTGGTAGATGCCCCAGGGGATACAAAACTAATTACCGTCTCCCCTTAAAACTCGGAACTACGGACAACACCACCCCAACAGTGACCCTGATCACATCACCCCAACACAGTGACCTCCATAACATCACCCCAACAGGTCTCATCTTGTTATCATCGCTTGTTATCGTCATATCAGCAAATTTTCCTCTCTCTGCAAATTGTTCACATCGCTATTTGTTGAATTCCCTATTACAATGCTTGTCTGGAAACCCCAATATAGTGGCTTCACTGTTATGCACACAAAACTGTATCATGGTTACAATCTGCTTCTGGCACTGAAAATACTAAATGATCACTTCCTGGTTGTCGGGTCTCCACAGATATTATTTGCTGCACACATAATGCACAATGCGCAGAAAACACCTGACACTTCCTGCAAACTGTGGTTCTCGTTGTTGTCATTTCCTGGCAGCTGTACACATGTCCTATGTGCCGGAAAGCACTTTGTGCAGGAAGAGTTTCCTTATGACATGACCCGGAAGTTGGACGTTTTTAGCTCTTTTCTTATAACATGGTTGCTGATCTAATCATCCAGTCAATGGGATTCACAAAGATTTACAAAGAATGTTTAGCAAGGAAACAGGCTACTTGGCCCAACCAGTCTGTGCCGGCATTTACACTCCACGAGTCTCCATCCATTGCTCACCTCCTCCCATATCTTTCTATTCTCCTCCCTCTCATGGTACGGTCTAGCTCCTTCTCGAATGCATCTACACTATTTGATTCAACCACTGCTTCAGACGACAAGTACCGCAATCACTAAACCCTCTGTGTGAAGTGGTTCCTCTTAAATTCTTGTTTGGATCCCCTGGTTATGGTCTTATACTTGTGTTCCTGGTTTACGGACTCCCCAACCGGTGGAGACAGCCTATTTATTCTAATCTTATCAAAACCATTTTATATTTTTAACACCTCTATCAGGTCCCCTCTTTCAAAACAGTCAGTAAAGTTTGTTTCCAACTAAATCCTATCTTAAATGAAAATTTTTTATCTTTAACATTTTTCTTTTATAGTAGTTATGCATTTTTGTTTTGCCAGACATACAGCTGTGCACATCTTGTAGCCCACACCAAAGTCAAAGCGACACTGTTCATCCATTGAATAGTTTATTCCTGGGAGGTCTGGAAGGTTGGGCCAGTTATGTTCAAATGGATCATCCAAGAGACAGTCGTATGAGCTGTGGGTAGAACAAAAAAAGAAACTGAATCTCTCTAGAATTTTCATTAGAATCGTTATGCCGAGGGTTTAGTTCCTGAGGATGTTTCCAATGTTAAGAAGGATCTTAGCGGTATTAACAATTGATGGCACTTCAAATAATGTTTTAGACAGAGAAAGATGCTAGATGTCTTGATTGTTTAATCCCATACACAAAGGTCTTCAATAGTGTTACGGTTCATCTGCATTTTAGTGTCAGTTAGTGGAGTTCGACACACACACGGGCATTGGAATCAGTGGGGCTACTGCAACAAACAGAAGCACTTACTGAAGATATCTTTTGAGCTCCTGCCCACTGCACCGAGACCAATGAAATCTGTGAAATGCAGCTTGGACCAATGGTGCCATGACACTGCCCATGCTGGTTTCATCCCCGCAGTGATTGCCTTGACCATCGTGTTCCATGCCGAGCCTACAACAGTTGCGATAATGCTTGATTCAAAGAAAAATGACCAACTTCTAACATTGTCTTTTGCCAAAGAAAAAAGATTGCACGGAATAGAATAGAATCGAATACCCACAATATGCCTGGATATTGAGATCCTGAGAATACTGAGATCAAAACACCACCAAACACAGCCTTTAGAACTATACAAATTTACAACACAAAAGAAGATCATTCAGCCCATAGTGTCTGTGCTGAGCAACCCTTTCAGTCTCATTTACCGCCTCATACCCCTGTAGATATTTTTAGATATCTCTCTATCTGTCATAATAATCCTTGCAATTGGTATAGCGCCTCATCACATTGGAAATGCATCTCAAAGCGCTTCACAGGAATTACTGTGAAATGGAGTGACTGTGTATTTGTAGGCAAATGCAGCAGCACCATTGCACACAGCAGCATCCCACAAACATCCATGAAATGAGTGATCAATTTTATTTGGGGGATTGTTGGCCAGGACACCACGACAATTCCCATGGGATCTTTAACATCCGCCTGAAAAGCAGACGGGACCTCGGTTTAACGTCTCATCTGAAAGATGGCACCTCCAACAATGAAACATACCCCCAGCACTGCATTGGAGCGTCAGCTTAGACTATGTCAGTTCATGTCCTGATGTGGGGCTTCAACCCACAACCTTCTGACTCAGAGGCGAGAGTGGGCCAGGCTGACACACGTTAATTTTAGTCATGTGTTAACTTTTGAAAGCTAATATGGATTCTGCCCCAAACATTGATGATCTACCTTGGGGAGGAGGTAAGTGGGGTCTCCTTAGAGCTGAACTGATGGTCTTGGTAGTCCAATTCCTGAGCCAGGCAGATCTACAGTACTACAGCCCAGCCAGCCATGCTTATTGGCAGGACCCGGAAGGGCAGACCAGTCAATGGGGCAGGGAATTCTCCCACGTAACTCCTGTTAACCCTGCAAAGCTCAAGCGGGTAGGGTGGTCCTAGCTGGACAAGCAGCTGGAAAGCCTTGCATTTGAAATTGGGTCTTGTTACGTCATTGAGACAACTCAAAGCTCTTTACAGAGTAAACCGTAAGGTGAATTGACTGTAAATTTTGTGGGCAAAACAGGTAGGGCGTTCCTAGCGAGAAACTTTGCCATCCTGTACTCTCAATGGCAAGCCTCACGATTTTATCTGGTCAGAATCCAGCAGTTACCCCAACGCACACTCTGGGGTCACCAAGCCTCGTGTCTTTCCAACCTGCTCCTAATACTTTACGGAATTAGGGAAGCAGGATGTGTCCCTCCAGGGAGAGAGTGACCATTCCATTCCAACAATCTCTCTCTGGGATTTTCATGTGTAGGCGGGAAGCATGGAAATCTCAGCTTGCTTTGGATATTCTGAAGCACGGTGATGGGTTTCCGTATGTGTCAGACACCTGACCTACCAAAAAAAAAATTCGCACCCCGCTAACCTAATTCTAGATAGAAATAGGCACGCAAAGAATTAAGGCTTAGGGACCCCAGAGTGTGCGTTGGAGAAATACTGGCGTCTAACCAGCTAAAACTGCGTAGCTTGTCATTGAAATTACCGTCTGGCCAGCTTTCCTGCTGCTTGTCCAGCTAGGACCACCCTACCCGTTATGGCTTTCGCTTGCAGGGTTAACAGGAGCTGAGTGGGAAGAGCACCTGCCCTTCCAGGTTCTGCTAACAAGCCAGACTGGCTGGGCTGTCATCAACAGTGCCCCAGAGCACAGGAATCTGACTACCGAGACCGTCTAAGAAAAATGATTCGATTCCGATATTCTGTTTCCCCTTGGAGCATTTTATCTTGGAGCCAACTCAGATCCAATGGGACCCCAACTTGTGCCCCTCCACCCCAAGGAGGATAGGCAGGTTCAAATAAAGAAGGCCATTTAATCTCATCCTTCCAGAATTCCCCCACCCCACCACCACCATATTCCCATTCCAACCTCTTAAATGAATGTGCCCTGCCCTCAACCACCTTTCCTACCTGTTCTGCCTATTAATTAATATTTGCGGAAATACATATATCCTGGTATTTGTCCTAAATGCGTCCTTAGCAACCGTGAACCTGGGGCCCCTCTCCCTTCTGCTTTACCATTGAGAAAACATTGTAGCTCACGCAGTAAAGTGTTCTAACTTACACATGGCCCGTTTCATGAGCAACCACAAAGGCTGATGAGAAGCCATCCTCGTGGTTCAGCGTACAACTGCGAACTGAGTGACACATCCCGGTCACTGGAGCATATCCTGCCGGAGATTGGGAAAGAAAACAGTAAAACAGACCAACAGTGTTGTGATCAGATCAGGAGCGGATGGTTAAAAAATTGTTGTTTTAGTTACATTAGTAGGTCTTAAGCTTGTTAGCTCACGTCGAGCTGACCTGCAGAAATGCAATCTCGATTCTAAAAAAAAGGTTGCTTCGATTAAGCGTAGGTTGTTTACACTCGTTAGCACTTGCCGAGGCGAACTGGCAGGACTTTGATCTTGATCTTGATGATGAAAAGGTTATTTTAATGAAATTGAGCTGAATTGCAAAACTTCTATCAAAGTGTACCAAGCCTCGCGAAGTAGCTGGTCTAACACTGCATCAGGAGCTGTCAAAATGCTGTGCATTGTATTACGAATAGCTTGAACAGTGAATCTGTTTCGGCAGCAGTACTCTGTTGTGTCGTGAATTAATTGCTGCTGCTACGACAGAATGGGTGATTCCACTTGGGACGCCGGGGAAAAACTCCCTTCTGTTTTTGAACAGTGCTTAGGATCTTTAACATTCACCTGAATGGACAGACCAGACTTCGATTCAATGGCACCTTCAGCAAAGCAGCACACCCCAGCACTGCGCTGAAACGTCAGCCTGGTTACAGGTTAATAGAATCATGTTGGATGAAGTTTGACTCCAAACTAACACTGTCCTGCACTGTTGACCGCTAGATGGCCACATACACACTGGTGAATGCTTTGTTCATTTTCAGATCCATTCATTCATCTTTTTATCCATTTTTAAGAGACAGTTCATTGTTTTGTCTATTGTATTTTTTAATATATATTTTGCAGGAGTTATCTGACTAGTAGGGGTGAAAATTTGCCAACATTTTATGAAATATCCCAGAGACCTTGGGCCTGGATAATTATATATATATATTTTATACAGTAAAGTTGTGAAACGAAGGATTTCACGAAATCCCTGAAATTTTCAGTAAAATTGTGAAACCATGAAATCACTGAAATTAGAAGTCAGGGTTTTTGTGAAAAAAGTACTCCTTTCATCCTATTTAACCCACAAAACAGTCAATTCACTTTACAGTGTATTCTGTGAAACGCTTTGAGACATCTAGAGAACATGATAAGACGCTACATCAAATGCAAGGATTACATTGATAACCTTGCCTTGACACTTGCTAGCATTATCAACAAAACAATAACACATTATGAAAATTAATATTTTATTCATCAGCTTCATGGGACTTTTCATTCACTGATGAGCCTTCCATGCATGACACCTTTCAGCTTTGCTTTGAAGCGTTTGCAACAGTCGGTCTGACATCTCTTCTGACCGCGGTCACACTTCGTAAAGCCTTGTCCACCACAAACAGCCTGTGACCAGCTTCACAGAGTGACACTGACTTCTCCTGGTTGATGTAGGTCACTGTTAACAATTTTTGTGGGCAGAGGGCAAATTGGTTCCTGGACTAGTGACCCCTCAAGATGCCAGCCTTCACTGCTATCCTGTACTGGTCAGTGTCTAAATCTCTGTTAATGATAACGCCAAGGATGTTCCTGGCTCCTAATTTCAGTGGTTTCACAATGTCATTAAAAATTTCAGAGTTTTTGTGAAATTTCTAGTTTCACAATTTTACTGAAAATTTCAGGGATTACACAAAATCCCTGGTTTCACGATTTTACTGTAACATATATGGATATATAAATAAAATCCTACCTCGCAATTGATATAAGATAGGGTGACCATACATCCCCGAATATAATATAATATAAGCGCTTCACAGAATATACTGTAAAGTGAATTGACTGTATATTTTGTGGGCGAAACGCGGCAGCCAATTGCGCACAACGTTGCCCCACAAACAGTCGTGGATTGAGTGACCAAATTATTATTTTTTTTGAAGGGATAATTATCCCTGGAAAAGTGATCCGCCAATCGACTAACAATCGGGTTCCTACTTACTGCGAGGTAAACAGAGGCGTGTGGAGTAAGGAAACTTGCCCAACATTTCACCCTGCCGGGAATCAATCCCAGGTCTTACGAGGCGAGTGCTCTAACCACTGAACTACAGGACTCCAACTTATCCCATTCTCCTGCTTACTCCTCCTAACAGTTAACAACAATGTGCAGAACTGGATTAATTGGCTGAATGGGCTCCTCATGTGCTTATCTTCCTGGTAAGTTAGAATTCGGACGTGGTGCTCTGCGTGTTAAACGAAAAAAAAATCATTGAGCTTGCTTTACCTGCATTTTGTTTGTATGATACAAACCTTGCATACCCGCAGGTCCGAAATCTTGTCTTGTTAAAAAGATGGCATGGTCATGGTGCTCTGAGTGTTCAGCATCCGATTTTTGCTGAAAGTGCGCCCAGCGGCAGACATTCTCCAAACTTTTGGATGGATTTCCTCTTTCAATCAAGCTAATGGACTGATTAGATAGTCAATGCATCCAATAGGTTCTCAGATACCATTTTTTTATTTGTTACGAAAAGTACTTATTCTTAAACAGAGGCTAGGTTGCTCATAAGGAGCACTAACGCATTGCTGTTCTGAAAATCTTAATTCTCAAGTTCACCAATGTTGTTCTCATCCTTTTCCCAGAGATGTTCTCAGATATTAAATAGGTACTTGAAAAGGAAAAAAAATTGCAGGGTTTATGGGGAAAGAGCGGGGGGAGTGGGCTGATTGTGTAGCTCTTCCAAAGAGCCGAATGGCCTCCTTCTGTGCTGTAATATTCTATGCATGAGCCAAAGGGCTTCCTTTTATGCTCCTTCTATGGTTTGGTTCTCATTTGAAAGTCCTGGTTCTAAGTTGGAGCTCTGCCCCTGAGAGACACAGTAGATGGTGAACTACTTTGCATCCATTCACCACACGAGGTATGGAATTAATTGATGATGGCAATAGATCCGAAAAAGCAGGAAATTATTCAATAATTTGATTGAGATTGATTGCCATGATTATTGTAGCATGCAACCAGCAGGTCTGATAGAAGGCAAACTGGATGAAGTTTGTTTAGGTCTTCTTTTGTCTAGCAATTTCTATGTTCCTAATTGACGTCACAACACGAGATGTTTTCCTGTCGTTTGAAAATGTGTTGGCTCTCTCATTTGAAAATCCTGGTTTCAAATCGGTGCTCTGCCTTTGAGAGACAGAGTAGATGGAGAATTACTTTGTGTGAATTGCGAATCTGTTTCTGTTTTTAGGCTTTTTTTTAAAGGGTAAAAGTTTGTTTTACAGGGTATTCCTGCTAAAATAAAACATAAACCTTTAACTGGGACCAAGGTATAGCCTGGAGCAGTAATCATTGTTCTTTTAGTTTAGTTAAGATTTTATTAACTCAACTTTACAGCTGTATAAAATATGATTTGCTGGAAAAACATAGAGAACAAGAACAGTTCAATGTAGTCCATCTGGACAAACACAGAGTGGCTTTACAAGCTTTACAGTAAATATGTAAGCTGTACCCAGATATTAATTTTTAAACCAGCACTCAAAACAGTCTCAGATTTATATACCACAGCGAATACAGCACTGTGAGAACAAGATAAAATTGCCAATGCATTTGATAACGAATATTCACTGAGCCAGTACTCTTTTCTAACTCGTTTCTAACTCGCACGCAAAAAAATGCAGCTCGTTGCAAACAGGGCAAAATTAAAAATTCAGAGATGCACAGTTTAAAGTTAATGCTCTTGCAATCTCACATAGGCAATAAATACCAGACTTCCGAAATATTGTCATTTTCCTTCTAGACTTTTGCGCAACTTCTGACATAGAAACTGGAAGTTGATAAATTGATCGCTGATTCTAATCTTACCTTTGCATATCCCAGCATGATCATACGCACCAGAACAACATTTACATGGGCCCCTAATGATTTATCATGGTAAATCTCATTAACCTAATAAAAAAAGAGAAAACAGACAGTCTTAAAGCCGTTCTAAACAAGGACATGAAAATCAGTATTCCTAAACACATTCACAGGTAAACATTCACCGTTGCTTAACCAGTTACTTGTGCTAATTTACACAAGGAATGTGAAAAGGAACAAGACTAATTTGTTTCTTACTTGAGGATTAGTTAGTTGTTAACTGACCCTCTGTGAACATCAGGCTCTTGAAACATAATAATAATAATAATAATCGTTGTATTTGATAAAGCACCTTTCACATTGGGAGGTTATCTCAAAATGCTTCACAGGATGTACTGCAAAGTGTAGTGACTGTGTATTTTGACAAAATACCTTCAATGAATGAAGAGTTTTTTTTAAATGCTGATGTTACGGCACGTGGACTGTGATCTGAAAACTAACCGAGATCCTAAAGATCAAACATTTGCAATTTGATACAGCTATATAGTTTCCGGTTGAAAAATCCCAACCAAAATGTTCAAACATCTTTCAACTATTGAAATGTGAGCTCATTTTCCGACTGGAGAAGGAGTGGGCCAGTCTTGCTGAAATTGCAGATCACTAATGCAAAGTAACATTTGAAGTTCATTTAAATGAAGTCATAAATATTTGCTCAGCAGTGCCCAATAGCGCATCCTGCTGCCAAATAAAATAGCATTAACGCAGAAAAACATATCTGTGGAAATTTGCCGGCAGAGAAAAACGAGATTAAGTTCATCGCTGGAATGTACGCAAGCAGAGCATATAAAAAAAATCTGAACGATTCCAAATGGAAATGGGAAATAGCAACTATATCTGGAATTAAATAGTTCCTGCTTGAAGAAAACAGTTTGACACAGGCTGTGAAATGGAAGCGCACGTTCAGGGAGATAGGATGTTCAGGGCACACGGTTCCAATGGGGAAGCCTAGGCTACAACAACAGCAACAACAACAACAAATTACATTTGTATAGTGCCTTTCACGTCAGGAGGACGTCCCAGGGTGCTGAAGCATGTCCCAAATAGCCTCCTTCCGTTCTGTTAACATTCTACCTTCTATAGTCAGTTATTTGAACAATTTGGGCCAAGTAAAGGCTCCAAAATTGATATGGACTCCAGTCAGAGTTATTAGCACTGCTCAAAGACCAAAGCTGAGAACTTCATTGTCAGGAGATTTTTACAAAATAAAATTTTTACAAAATCGGTTAAAATTAGTAAGTCTCCAATTTGCCTTTGATGTGGAAGTGAAATCAGGCCTGCGACGCGTGAACGCAGGAAATTATTGGGTTAACGGTTTAGCCGCACAGCGTGACTGCGAACTGGCAATGCAAACGTATAAGCAAACTGTTTCAAGAACAGTGGAGGGTTAGAGACAGATAGAGATAGAGAGAGAAATTCAGGAATGGAATGCGTACTCTCTCCCTGGTCCTGCTTACCTCATTCTGGAGAGTGTTATGCCAGGTTGCTGAGAGCCAAGGCTCTGGGTATCCCAGGGTGTGCGTTGGGATACTGCTGGAGTTCAAAAGATAAGACCGCGTCGAAAGCAAGTTTTCTCACTGCTTGTAGGGTTAACAGGAGCCGAGTGGGAAGAATCCCTTCCCCCAGTAAAGTCCTGCTGACTGGACTGTCATTGACAGTGCCTTGGAGAACTGCGGACCGGCCTGACTTAGGAACTAATGACTGAGACCATCACAGGGGGTTAACTCAATTTGACATTCATTGCCAAGCTCAGCTCCAAGGAGTTCTCGCTTATCTTCCCCCAAAGGAGGCTTGGTCTTGATAGGCTGCTTGCTCTACAATTACCATATTATACTTTTTATTTTTTTCCGCCAAATATAAGCAAGAAAATTGTGCGCGTGTGTGTGGGGGTGGGGGGTGTGGGAGTTACTTTATTGGAAACCTTTACTTTATTTATAGCGTGATAAGGCGTTATATCGAATGCAAGGATTATGATTATGATGGATTGTTATAAACTTAGACACTTACTATATTCATGAGGGTCAAGAGGTAGTTCTGGACATGTTCTTTGCCATGGAACCGCACCACAGAATCATCTACTCCCAAAAGCACCTCGATGTTATAGTCCTCTTCCTTTGCATGCCTGCGTCGCCTTTGAGTTTCGTTCAGCTGTTTGTCAATGTGCGTGTACATGTCGCCCAGGTTGCCAGCTCCACCAAAATCAAACCCTGCCGACAAACACAGTATCTTTAGTGCGCTGTTCTCGCTTGCACTCAATTCTCGAGCCTCTCATATTCATTCAATAGAATGAAGACACATCTGCTGAATATTTCTAGTGAATTCGTTCGAATAATGAAGTGGAATATGAATCTATTGAGGCAATGGACAGGTTCCTTGGACTTGGCGTGAAGAAGAGCAGCTTCAAAATCTCCCGCCTCAACCGACGGCTGAAACCGCTGTGTGTCGTCACTGCCACCTCCAAGATCATTTTTCATTGCCTTTTTTTCCCGCGATCTCCCTTCTTTCCCTTGCAGTCCTCTCTCAATCTTTCCTTTTTTTCCCCCCCCTCTCTCAAACCCTATTAGATTGGGCTCTTTTCTAACATACAAATGAAGCTCATGAGCACTATGCCCAGTGCTTCCCCCACGACCCTTCCTGTGCCGTCCCCACCTCCGCAACATTGCCCAGCTCAGTCGCTGTCTCTCACCCACAGGCTGCTGAGACTCTCATCCACGCATTCATCCCATCCAGGCTCAACTACGCAAACTCCCTGCTTGTCGGCCTCCCCAACTCCTCCCTCCATAGGCTGCAGATCATCCAATACTCTGCAGTCCATGTCCTCTCCCGCACCAGGCTCCACGACCCTATCACCCCCATCCTTGCCCAGCTCCATTGGCGTCCTATCACACAGAGGATACAGTTGAAGATCCTGATCCTCACCGTCAAAGCCCTCCACGGCCTTGTTCCTCTCTACCTCCATGACCTACTAACTCTGTATAAGCCTGCTCGCTCCTTCCGCTCAGCGGGTTCTGCCTGCTTCACTTCCCCCGCTTCGCCCGCCCCACCATTGGCGGGTGGGCTTTCAGCCTCTCTGTCCCCACCCTATGAAACTCCATCCCACAGTCCCTCCGCTTCGCCCCCTCCCTCGCCTCTTTCAAGACCCATCTCAAGACCCTCTTCTTCGACCATGCCTTCGGTCACCCTCCTACCCCTACTCTCTACCCTTCCTGATCCCAACCACCAGCCGGGATGCAGATCCCTGACTGCCCTGCACCTTGGGACATCCTCCTGACGTGAAGGGCATTATACAAATGCAATTTGTTGTTGTTGTTGGGTATTTAAATTCTGCTCACCTTCTCTCTGCTCTACCAATCATTACATTAAGAGTATTTGTTTGTTTTACACGTCCCTAGTCTCTTCTCTCCTTCAGGATTGCAACATGTGTGTTCCCACCACCATGCAATATTCGTTTAAATTCTCTGTTACAGCCCAGGTATTTTCCCAGCGAGATTGGTGCCAGCTTTGTTCCATCTATTCCCTGTAGGTCATTCCTGCTCCAAAAATGATCTCAATGTCCTAAGAATCTAAATTTTTCCGGGGGTAATAATTCCTTTAAAAAAAATAATAAATTGGTCACTCAATCCACGACTGTTTGTGGGACGCTGCCGTGCGCAATTGGCTGCTGCATTTCGCCCACAAAGTGTACAGTCAATTCACTTTACAGTATATTCTGTGAAGCGCTTTGAGATGTCGTGAAGGCATGATAAGGCCCTATATCAAATTCAAGGATTATTATTATATTAGTGTTAATATACTGACTGGCAAGTGACACGAGGAGCAATCCTGAGATGACAACCCTTGAGATCCTACACCTCAATCTATCTTTTAATTGCCAGAAATCTCTGTGCAGGGCACAAAACCTACTCTTTGCAACATCATTGATTCCTACATGAACCATGACTACTGAATGTTCTCCTGTCGTCGCCAAAATCTGTTTGATAGTTTTGAAGGAAAACTGTGTGAAGATATGGCTCATGCAATGAAACAAACAGCCCTTTCCTTCAAAGTCATAAAAATCTCTTCACTTGAATTCACATGGTGAACAGTCAAGCATTGAGCAGAGGGAGCTTTTTTTTTAAGAAAGATAGGGGAAAAATTTGGGGCAAAACATTTCTAGAGATAATAATGGAATTTAGAGAATACAACATCAAATTATATTTGTATAGCGCCTTTCACGTCAGGAGGACGTCCCATGTCATTTATATCGTGCCTTTCACATGGGGTAGCATCCCGGAGAATATCACAAACTGTGCTAAAATCTGCGTAAAACTTCAGCCAAAATTCATTTGTAAAAATCTTAAATTCACCGTCGTTAAAGAGTTTGTGCAAACCAGCGTTAGTTGACTAGTTTTGCTTTAAGCTGCTGTAAGAGCACTGCTGATTTACAGCTGCTACGTGTTGGTGCCAGCGTGTTACTGTCTGCTGGAAAGAGACCACCTCAGAAGATTGGACAGCGAGTACAAAGGGGAACATGTTCCTTTAAAATAAACATCGGCTTTTCAGCTTTCACCCATAAACCTTGTTGCCATGGTCGTAAGTGATTTATGCGCCCAGATGTCTTATCAAATCTTCCTCTACACAGAAGTCTTTTTGCTTAGACAGATTCACATTCTATTGTTGGTGAGTAATAAACCTACAGATATGGAGGAGTTTTAGGAAGGAGACTTTTCTGCACCGTTAACATTTATTATAACAGTGTGAATAATAGCCCATAGGTCTTGACAATCTCGCGCATGTTTCTCTCTCTCCAAACTCGCAGCTTCCGTAAGAAACTATTTCTACAAATCACTACTTTGAGGCAAGGCCAACAACAAGAATTTCTATGGCGTCTTTCATGTCGGGAGGATGTCTCACGGAGCTCAGAGAGCTGACTGGTATCCCGAGCTGGGGTGACTTATGGGGGGGATGGGGAGCTGTAGGCGGTCATCAAAAGTGAGGATTTTGTTTTCGTCAACCAGATGTCTGACACATGTGGAAACCCATCACCGTGTTTAAGGTTATCCGAACCAAGCTGAGCATTCCACGCATCCCGCCTACACATGGAAATCCCAGAGATAGATTATTGGAATAGAATGCGCACTCTCTCTCCCTGGAGGCACTCATCCTGCTTACCTAGTCCCGGAAAGTATTTAGGTGCAGGCTGGTGAGAGCCAAGGCTTGGGGACCCCACAGTGCGCGTTGGGGTAATTGCTGGAGTCTAACCAGCTAAAACCACATAGCTTGCCATTGATATTGCTGTCTGGTAAGCTTTCCCTCTTCTTGTCCAGCTAGGACCACCCTACCTGTTAAGAGTTCTGCCTTGCAGGGATAACAGGACCTGAGTGGGATGGCTTCCTGCCCCCAGTAACTGGTCTGCCTTTCCACGTCCGCCACAGAGACCTCTCTTGCCCCCCACCCAAGAGTATAGTCACTATTTGGTCTTTCGACACCGACAAACTTGGGTTTGAGCGTTTGTGGTGGATGGTAGGCACCAGCAAGCTGTATACATAGATAATTCCCTGTGAGCTACAGAATTTTTGCCCCCTATATTCACTAAAATGTTTATTTAGCAAACACTTATTTCACAAAACCTGGCATTTTAGGCATTTCCTCGTCAAATAATGTATTTTCTTCTTTTCTCACAACTCTTTACAGAGAAAGTTTAAGTGCATAATATTTTAAAGGCAAACCCGAACTTGATTTTCCAGTCTAGCTTTTCTACCTGCAGTGTTAGACAAGCATTTTTGAAAAAAAATAATAATTCTCTACTCTTTTCCCCACAGGAAATAGACTAAACGTGGGTCTGTGAGAAAGCCAAAGACCCTTGCACTGACCTAAACTTTATGCAAAGCATCCAGTGACACCACGTAGTAAACTCTTCAGAAAAGCTAAGGAATTCTAGAACCAGCTGCTTTACTAACAAGACCATTCACTGTCCTATTCACTCCCATGACACTTTACTGCGCACACAGCAGAAAAACTATGTGTTTTTCCACATCTGTTTAGTTATAAAACCGGTGCCCATCATATTAACCCTTCCAGACAGTATTATAACAAAACTTGTTTTTCATTTAAACGAAGATGTTAAAATAATAATCCTTGCATCTGATATAGCGCTTTTCACGTCTTCCAGATGCCTCAAAGCGCTTCACAGAATATATTGTAAAATGAATTGACTATAGTTTGTGGGCGAAACGCGGCAGCCAATTGTGCACAGCGGCGTCCCCACAAACAGTTGTGGATTGAAATGACCGATTTATTGTTGTTTTTTTTCTTGAGGGATTATTATCAGGCGTGTGGAGTAAGGAAACTTGCCCAAGGTTTTGCCCTGCCGGGAATCGAACCCAGGCCTCTTGCATGCCAGGCGATGAGACAAATGGAAAAGGAAAAGAAAATTCTTACATTTGATGATGTAGCCCCTTTCATTTCAAGAGCAAATTTCAAAGAACTTCACAGGATTTACTGTAGTGCGTCGTGATTTTGTAAGATTTTGTAAGCAAATGCATCATACAGTTTGTGTAGAGCAATGTATCAAAGACAGCCATGGGGAATGACCAACGTAGGATTTTTGAATTGTGAACTAATTTAATGCATCTACGATGGAAGTAGCATTCAGTGCTCCTAGAATTATAGAAATTTAGCACAATAGTAGATTTTTCAGCTCATTTTCCTGTTGTGTCAGTTGCCTTTGAGTCTTAAGGTCCTGGATTCACACCCCACATCAGGACTTGGAACTCATATAATCTAATATGACACTCCAATGCAGTGCTGGGGTGTATTACATGGTTGTCAGCGATGCCCTCCTGAGGATTAAGACTTTAAACCAAGGTACCAACTGGCTGTTCAGGTGGATGTGAAAGTTACCACGGCTCAATTCGAAAAGAGAAGGGAGTTTCTCCCAGCGTCGTCACCAACAATCCCCCAAATTAAATTGGTCATTCACTTCATTGCTGCTTCTCCGAGACATTGCTGTGATTAAATTTGGTTGCCGCCTTCACCCACAAAATACAGTCGCTGCACTTTACAATATATGCAGCGCTTTTGGACGTCCTCTCGACATGAAAGATGTAAGGATTATTATTATTAATATTATTGTTATTAATGTTGTGTTCTATCTCCTATAAGCTAACTATTCCAATAAAAAACAAAGGGATGACTTCAAAACTAGAGTAAGAATGGATTTACCTTAGTAAAAAAACCACCTCTATCAGCTCTTTTTTATTCTAATGAAAACAGCCATTTCTCTAGTCTCTCCTCATAACTAAAACCTCTAACCTAATGAATCTCCTCTGTATCATCTCCATAGCCTTGACATCTGATACTCTAACTCAAGCTTAATAATATTGATAATTCTTGTCCTTGATATAGCGCCTCACCACGTCTTCGAGACGTCTCAAAGGTAAAATGAATTGACTGTATATTTTGTGGGCGAAACCATTGATTTGTACAGGTTGAGTATTACCTCTTTGATTTTATTTGAAACGCATGATATTTAAAACATATTTATTTAAAACATTGTTTGTAGATTTGTCAAATTGCCCTTCCACTTTTTAAAAGTCTAAAAGTCTCGCTTCCTCTTCTTTCAAGTCATTATAAAGGCACACAGACACTTTCATTGATATCTAGAAGCGTGAAATACAAAAGTGTAAAAGTGATATTCAAACTGCACATGACATTTCAGACTATTGTGTACAGGTTTAAACACTCCATCATAGGAAGGTTAGAAAAGGTGCAGCAGAGAAGATTGGATCAGGAATGAAGGGTTTTGGGTTCTGAAGAGCGATCCCACGGAAAAGCCTTTAAACTTACACATTTCTGGAGGATTTTCTTAAAGCTCGTGTCATTTTGAGAGGAATTCGGGAAACATAATAATAACATCCTTGCACTTGATAGCTTTGACGTCTCAAAGCGCTTCACAGAATACACTGCAAGGTGTAGTGACTGTGTGTATTTTGTCGCGAAATGCGGCAGCCAATTACGCACAGCAGTGCCCCACAAACAGCTATGGATTGAGTGACCACATCATTATATAATTAATAAATAGTCACTCGCATATAAAAACAGTTAAAATAATATATTTTAAAACATATCAAAACATATTAAAAAAAACAGTTCTTTATAACTGTGTGCACTACAGCTTGTGTTAATTAATGGATGTGCAGGAACATTGTACAATTTATATCCGTGGACTACGTAATAATAGAGGAAAGACTCAGGATAAGAATGGGTGACACAAATTATTTTAATCAAAGTGTTTCACAATATGTACATATTTACAAAGTTAACAGCGTGACTGTCATCAGTGTGCTATGATGTGTCTTTCCTATTTTTAGCTCCCAACCCCAGGATTTCTCCTTGAACGTTAACCAGACCGACTCTGTGCATTTGAAAGCTTTGTGAAACAGACAGACCTTGATATCCCTGACGATCCATTCATGGTAAAGGGGTGGGTGGAATAGGTGAAGGCCGACATCTCATCCACTTACAGCTCCAACCAGTCAGTACCACAATGCTCCTGCAGTTCGAGAAACCCTTCCTCGATGCGCCTTATTGTACCTTATATGTCCTCCTCACCCTCTGCTGTGCTTGTGTTCACCACGTGCAGTCCCATCATTTACCTCACCCTCTGAGATAATAATAATCCTTGCATTTGATATCGTCTTCGAGACGCCTCAAGGCACTCCACAGGATACACTGTGAATTGACTGTATATTTTGTGGGCGAAATGCATACTTCTCCTACTGAGACAAAAACCACACAATGTATTTTCCACGTGCTACAGAAAGCTGATGGTCAGCAAATCGTTACCTTCCTCTATCTGGCGGGTTTGTATTCCACATCATTCCAGCCCAGCGGTGGTTACTAGAGGAGCCCCCTTCTATCAGCTCCTCCTTCACCGTCAGCTCCAGCTCTTCCCCTTCTCCTGGCCCCGTACATTCCTTCCTGTTGTGCATAACTTTCCTACGATGAGAAACAAAGCCGCGTGATAGGTTTCTGCCTTGTGCTCGGCCCTATATCTGGGAGGTTGATGCAATCACGTGCATTTATTTGAAATGTAGAATGCAATTAAAGAACAAAATGTTCTGTGGATCTTACCTTTGCTCTCCTCTTGAGATCCTGAAATGCCCTCTTCACCTTTAGGTTGGGTCCATTGGGTAAGAGTGGACTGGTAGCATTGACCTGGGACATGATCTTGACCCACATCTTCATTTGACTACAGCCCCTAATGCTGGCAGTACTTCTAAACTCCATGACTGCCCGCGTCAAGCAGTTTGCTAAGGCTGAGCATTGGTCTTCTTCTGGTTTCTCGTAGACTTGAAGTCACAGTTCTCAGACCATAGTTCTGGTCCATTTCTCATTGGAATTAGCATTTACATACATCAGGCCCGTGACACTTATCACCTCGATGTCGTTGTTCGACCAATGCCATAATAATAAATGAAAATAATCGGTGCACTTGATATAGCGCCTTATCACATCATTGCGACGTCTCCAAAGCACTTCACAGAATACACTGTAAAGTGAATTGACTGTACATTTTGTGGGCGAAACACAGCAGCCACTTGCGCACAGCAGCGTCCCACAAACAGTCATGGATTGAGTGACCAAATTATTATTTTATTTTATTTGGAACGGATTGTTACCTCCGGAAAAGCGATCCGCCAATTGACTAACAACCGGCTTCCTACTTACTGTTAGGTAAACAGAGGCGTGTGGAGTAAGGAAACTTTCCTAACATTTCGCCCTGCCCTGGAATCGAACCCAGGACCTCTCGCTTGCGAGGCGAGTGATTTAACCAATATGCTACAGGACTCCATGTTTAAGGTTAGCAAGACTACTTCCTCCCCTGTTTCACTCCTTCTCCCTCCACCCCTCACCCTCCCACCCCCAATCAGTAGAAACAAAATCTTTTAAAGTGACCATTGTTAGATGCATTACCTTTTGATCAAAACAAGTAACCAAATAATGCCGGATAAAGAGGGAGAAAAGCACCGAAGGTTAAAGTTTCTACACCCTCTCAGACAACCACAGATATTCATTCACACAGCAGGTTGGAAGATATCATTTCAGTTTTAAGCTGCACTCCTTACAGTTGGACCAACAAATAAATATTCAATGCTTGGATCTGTGAGAGGACTCTGAACGGACTTTTGGTGAGAGGATGCTGTTGATTAAACCTAACATATATTACACAATTGCAGATTTCTCACTATTTAAACGAAATGTCATTTGCTCAGTTGCTATCTTGAACAGTTGGTGTTAGCTGAGTGTGATTCAGCCAGTGGAGGACCTGTTTGACACAGGGTTTGACAAGCTCGCTCACTTCAGGAGTGGGAATAGTCGGGTCAATAGAATAGCCCAAAGAAACAACTAAATGAGCCCCTGAGAGACCTTGCAAAATTAAGCAACTTGCAAAATAGTTGCTGAGTTTTGTTTCAACTATTGTTTGCAGAGAATTCCACATTCAAACCACGCTCTTCTGTAAATAAATGATTTTTTTTTTCCATCCTCCTTTTAATTTTTCTTGTGACTCTCTTAACCCCGTGCCTTGCTGTTACTGACTCGATGAGCGAGCAGTAGAAATAATCCGTTGCTGTCGGGAGATTCGAATTCCATTACACAAACGTTGCACCGGGCTAGGAAAGTTAACGGTGACATTCGAAAAGTGCTGGTGTCACAATCCTGAAGGTTAGACGCAGCAAGGCTCCAAATCGTGCAGCTCCATTGTGACCAATAATAATAATAATAATTATTATCCACTGTGACTAATCAGAAGTCATCACAAGATCACGGGATTGGTTTGGATAAAGAAGGCCCCTTGGCCCATCTCATCTTTCCAGAACACCCTACCCATTGTACTCCCATAGCTGTTTTTTTAATGAATCAAGTGTCCTGACCTCTACAATCCTTCTTGGCAACTTGTTCAATCATTAATTACTTCCTGAATTTGTCTGTCCTGAAATTGCCCTTTACAGTTCTAAATCCATGTCCTCTTGTTCTCTCACCACCGGTCTGTACATACAGTCCTCTTCCTCCCAATAGCATCCAACCCCACTTATAACACAGTCGTCTGAGTCCAGTTTCTCAGGCCCAGTGCATAACGAAACATGAAAATTGGCAGAATTATTAGTTGTTAAGCAGGGGCTGATGTTAGTTACTATGCGTTACACATGCTTGCTGTACACTGGAAGTAATGGTGGTCATGTTTTAGCGCGCAGGAAGCCAACTCACATCCCCAGATCTGTAGCTATTTTTAACTACTTCAAGCCAACAACTCCTTTGATTCGAGTAAGTTCAGAATGCCTGCTGTTTATTTGCTGACGTACAGAGAGAGAGAGAGAGACTCCTTTGTAACTCGGTGCCTCAGATCCATGTTAGAATGGGCCCACGGAGAGAGAAAAAAAAAAGGCTAATAATCCCACGTCCTGGTCATCGGATCATCGCTCACGTCGCCTCCAGCTGACTACGCGGGCTGGTCTGCTTTCATGAACATGCGCACAGGAGGCCGGCCGGACAGGCCTGGCGGGTCTCAAAACAATTGTTGTAGCAGTCGCGGCTGACTGGGTGGCTTTCCGTACGCTCTGTGGGAAGGTGAGTAGGTCGTGTGGGACATGTACTGCACAACCAGTAATCTGGGTCTATAGGGAACCCCTGTTAAAGCAAACTCTCGCTCTAGTGAAGCGGCTTCTAACGAGGTCCTTCTTTACAACATCAAAATACCAATGAGTTACATTTGTATAGCGCCTTTCGCGTCAGGAGGAAGTCCTGACCAATACTTAGAAGCATTCCAAGTTCTATATTGGATACCCACCTGTATGATGGAAGTCATGAACTGCTTCAGGAATTGAGCGCTGCAAAGTTGACCTGCGATAAACTATGTGAACTCGACCTCTTTCCTTTTCCTCCTCTTGTTTGCCCTTTTCTAAAGGCTCGATAAAATATTCGTCTTGATCTGTGCGGATAAGGCCAGCCTGAAGGGAAAGTGAAAACGAATAACGAATCATCACAACAAAATATCAATTTACGTTTATATAGTAGCTTCACACGTTGGAAGGATCCTGACTCACGGCATCGCAGGGTACGTGTGGGCTGTGACGATCAATCCGTCTGCGTTTCTGTGGTTCTTTATGGTTTGTAGCGTTAGGACAAGACTGCTCCAACCAGTAATAGTGTGCTGGTTAGGACTAAACCAAGAGTTGAAAGTATCTCAGTGATCTCCTGGAACCTGACTCCCCTAACCGCTCCCTCCCACACAGCCACCTCCGTCATGCCTCTTGCCCTCCATTCACTCCGTCCTACCATCGGTGGCAAGCATTCAGCCACTTTGCCCCCGTCCTCTAGAACTCTCTTCCGAAAACCTTCCATTTTTCTCTCCCTCCTCTCTCTGCTTTCGAATCCTGCGTGAAGATCCACTCAGGGGGGTTTCCTGCCACTTGCACTCCCACTCGGTCTTGAGGAATCTCACTAAAATGTTTCCCCATCTCTTGAAAGATGCTGTGTGATGTAAATTATTGTTGTGAATTTGCATGCTTGCGTTTCTACATACTTTATTTTCACGTTGACTATATTTCATTCGGTACCAATTAAATAAGTCTGACTATAACAGCTTTTTCCCGAGCACTGAGTTTCAATTTCATTGTAAATCTCACACAACACACCAATTCCTACAGCAGTTTAATGCCAGACTGAATCTTGCAGGTTAAATTGAGATAGACTACTCTTAGCGTCCTATGGAAACTTGCCCTTGTAATTCACTTTAACTCGCAGACTCATCCAGCTGGATTATCCAACTGCTTTAAATTATCTATTTTCTCTTTGTTAAAAGAAAATCTTGCAAAACAATCGTGTCACAGACTAGCGGCAATCAGAGTGCCAGAAGTAAACTTGCCAAAACATATATGTGAAGATCAACACCCCGTTGAAAACCAAACAAAATGCAGCTAGAGTTTCATGGTGATGCGGACATTTAACGACTTTGTTATATACACTCATAGTATCATTATTACTAAAACAAATAAAACACAGAATATAAGCAGTGATGATGATGATGATGATGATGTGCTTCAGGTCCTGTTATTTCCCTCCATTCTTTCCTCGAAATGCAATAGCCATTTTCATAGCGCTGGTTTGCAAAGAATATTATCCTTCCAATGACAATTGCAGGTGCTCAAGATCCAAGGTCGAAAACGTCTAACTTTAAATAGAATTCGATTCTGAAAAGGATCAAGAGCTCTGTGTTTCACCAGTTTAACGTCCCAGAATGAGTGTCAGCCAAACAGACACTGCAGCTGCCAAGACAAACATATGAGAATCAGCTGAAGGGGCCAGCTCTCAAGAGATGACTGTTCAGTCTAAACCTTATAAGAAGCTGGTCTAAAGATGTGCATTTACTAACAAAGTGGAACTGCGTTGACAAACATCAGTTCAATTTAAACACGAGCACCTTTCGCCTTCGGTGTTGAACTAAAACCTGTGGATGACATTCTTTGGCGTTAACTTCTGAACCGGGCGACGGTTGAGCAGAAGGAAACCTCTCGCGAAAGGAAAAGACCGTTTGATTTCTGAAAGGGAAGAAATGGAAAAGCATCCTTTGTCTGTGAGAGACATGACCCACGGTTTCGCTGAAAACAGACAGCTCCTTTTTATGTGCCCCAAGGCAGATCCCCCGATTCCTCTCGGGGTCAACACCACTGAACAGAAAGAGATTAACCGTCCATTAGCCCCAAAGGTTGCAAGTCAATACAGTAAGACAACAACAACAACTTGCACTCGGACAAGCATGATCTGTATAAATCATATAATCGCTTAAGTCGTATGTCTGCCCAGATCCCGTTGAATTTCGTATTAAATCCACTAAAATTTGTCTGCACCAGTCGTATTCACAATCACGCCGCGACTGCACTTGCCGCTAGCAAACTTATCAGATGTCGGGTCAAAACTTTGCTTCCCGTGCCTTAACTCGAACGAAACCCCGCACATTCGCAACCTGACACTCTCCGTGCCTTGTGTCTCGAGGTGTAACATCAATGTCATCGCGCACGGCAGCGGGGGGGGTGAGGGGTCGGGGGTGGGGTGGATGAGAGAAGATAGAGCATCAGGTCATCACGTGGAGGGGGTGAAGAATGTCTGATTGTGTGGAGACCCTTCAACTCATGGACACTGACCAGTCTTGAAGCAGCAGATGCAGAGCTCTGAGTGAGACCATTGCGGGAAGCTAAGTCCCGACCCGTCTCGCACACTTACCGGCAGCGATGCCGAAAGACTAAAACAAAACAGTACAGAACGGGGAACAAGTACGGAAGACAAGGATTTGACCAGACATCATGACATAAGGCAGTGCAGATGTCACCAACTAAAGGCAAATTAGTGACCTATCAGTTGATTCTCCAACTTTGCCCGGCAAATCCTGAAATGAAAAAGGACATTGTTTCCCAATTTCATTTGAAACCACAGACTTTGATTGCCGGAGATCAGGCAGAGTCAATTGAGGGTTTATGTCTGACTTAACTTTTCCTTAAAAAAAAGTGATTAATAATTCAGTTGCAGTGTTAATACTGTAGTTCTTTTTAAGCGTTTATATCTAATAAAAGAGTTCTGTCTTGAAACCTGGTTGGTTGTGCCATTCATTGGACAGCACATGTTTCCTGCACATGGGGTGCAGTTCTGTACGTGGAAAGAATGGGCTACAATAGCTTTAATATGCATGGGTTCAGCATGGGACAGAAAACTTTGCCTTAATGTCATCAGCCAGTTCAGTACTTGTGTATTTGCTACTTGTAAGTCATATAAGACCCGACTTATACATACGTTTCCACAAGTCATATATGATACGACTTACACGAGTTTCACGTAACTCATAAGTCATATTAAATGTTCGGTCCCAACTAATAAAACTTCTACGAGGTTTACTGTAGAATATTATTTCTGTGAATTTATTGTCGAGACGACTCAAAGCGCTTCACAGAATATACTGTAAAGTGAATTGACTGTATATTTTGTGGGCGAAACGCGCACAGCAGCGTCCCACAAACAGTCGTAGATTGTGTGACTAAATTCTTCTTATTTTTTTCCCTCTCCGATCAGGCACTGACTTATATATTATATATCCAAATCAGTTAAATTCAGATCTCCTTAAGTGACACAGAAGCTCAAGTGCTAGAGACGGTACAAAGCAAAGCAATTAGACCGATATCCGATGTAAAGAGGGATGAGCTATGATTTGGCATTTGTACAATAGGTCTATAGAAGCAAATACCAATTTGTATCATCTCACATCATTACAAGATAGCTGTCAAGCCACTATCATTTCTTCAGACATCAATAATAGAATACAAAATTACATTTGTATAGCGCCTTTCATGTCGGGAGGACGTCCCAATAATGCTCAAACCAATAATCCCACAAAAAAGAGGCCTTTATACAAAGAAAACTAGTGTTAAGATAAGGAGAGAAAACCATTGCATAAAGTAAAATTAAGAGGCCTCACTTTCCTTTCACTGCTACTATTTCAATAACATACCAAATCCTCTCGCCCACTTTCCCCTGAGAAGTCAGAATTCTTTGGCAAGTGAAGTATGAAGACTGGGGTGAAAATACTCTCTCACGAAAGCCATACAATATACAATCAAGATATAACAACCATAAGGTTACATTAGACACAGGAACCGAGACAATGCAGGAAGACGCAATTTTACAATTATTACTAAAACAGAGTGCTGCGTTTATATTATTAGCAAAATTAAGATAAAACTGGTGATACTGAACAGTTGGCAAACAACTGGAATTTAATTTCACAATTAACTCCCAAAATGCTGCCTATCATCCATTTGCCTACTTCTGCACTGGAAAAACTCACATGTACACACTCCGCACACACACACACACGCACACACACAGCCATTCACAATACTGTTAAAAGGTTTAGGTTTTTAATTCACTATTCTCTCGTTTCCAGGTTCAGTCAGAATCTCTCCTATGTCATTGTGCCATTTCAGAACTTCTACGCCCCTCTCAATGAGGTTATTTCTTCTCCTCCAAAACCGGTCTCAAGACCCTCCTCTTCGACCGTGCCTTCGGTCACCCTCCTACCCCTATTCCCTCCCAGCCCTCCAGATCCCAACCACCGGCTCGGGTGAGGATCCCTGACTGTCCAGTGCCTTAGGACGTCTTCCTGACATGAAAGGCGCCAGACAAATGTAGTTTGTTGTTGTTGTTATTTACCTTGAACACTCACTGGGGGCAGTCAACAGATTGGGCAATTTTGCCCTTGTTAGTGAGTTTGGGATTTTGGTTGCTGACAGTTTAAAATGGAAACAAAAATAGATATTGAAGAGTAGCTTGAATACCGGCTTAGCTTCATACCCGAGAATCATAAAAACACAGACATTTTCAGCACAGAGGGAAGCCCTTCAGCCATTGTGTCTGTGTTATGCTATCTGTGTTTTTTTTTTAACAACTTCCTTTAATAAAACTCGCCTGAGTCGTCTCCACATGATGAATTATTTTGGTTTCCTACCAAAAAAACACTTTTTATTGCAGATTTTATTGCAATTCTCAGATTTTACAAATCAGATAAACGACTGAATCGTAATGGTTTCTTGCTCCCAAATAATCCTAAATCCCCGAATTCGTAATTTAGCTCCTGCATTTGCCATGTGAAGTAGATGTGCGCAGTATTATGTTTGAAACGAGCACAGGAACCAAAGTCTTGCCGTCACCACATGCACAGTTACCAAGTGCAGTAATGAAGTACCGTATACGCAGTACAGTACAATATATTCTGCTGAAACAAGCACGAAAAACTAGGTATTTGGATAATAAACTAGCATAAAATCCGACTTATTACAAGTTTGCCCTTTTGCCCAGTTTGACACATAAGTCACATTAAATTTTGTAGTCCCGACTGATACGACTTACGTGAATTTTTACTGTAAATCCACTTTGCAATACTTTTCCCATATCCCTCAAAGAT